TATGTGTACATTTCTGTGTGAGTAAATGGGTGTGTGTCTACTTGAAGGTTGTGTGTGGGGGAATGAATGCATACTTGAGAAATAACCATGGGGGGTGGTGGCCCCTGGCCTTTAGGATGTCAGCATAATGGAGTAAAACTTTGGGACCGTATTGAGCTCCAGGGAAACTCCATTCACTGCAGTCAGCAACCCAGCCTCAAGCCATTATCTTAGTGGAAAACGTTTTGTTCTTAACTCCGTCCTTAGCAGCACCATTTGCAGAAAATAATGAACTCCTCTTCATCAATAGACTGCCCAGTTCTCTCTTTCTTTTTTCTTTTCTTTTTAAGAAATATTAAACACATACTACATGCTGAATCACACGGGACCGTGTGAAAATTTGCACTCTAAGAACTCGTTTGGATAACTTAATAGTTTAAATTCTACAATGTTGTAGTCTTTTTTTTGTAGAGGGACAATATTTATGCATATTTAAACTGCATACTGCATATTTTTATATACATCTGTATTTGATGTGCTATGAAGGAACTGTGATAAATACTAAATAATAATATGCTTTTCCTTTATCAAATAGTGTATGATAGTGGTCCTCAACCTTTTTTGCGCCACAAACCGGTTTATGTCTGACAATATTTTCACGGACCAGCCTTTAAGGTGTCGCGGATAAATACAGCAAAATAAAACCAGTACTGGTAAAAAGAAAAAGATTTATTCATAACACGTGGGAAAAGACCCAGTGAAACCGAGTTAACGATAAAAATGATTTAAAAACATAACGATAAAAACTGACAAAAACCCTGAAAACCATAAATTTTCACACCCGAGCTTCAACTCTTGCGACCCGGTACCAAACGACTCATGGACCGGTACCGGTCCGTGCCCCGGGGGTTGGGGACCGCTGGTCTGTGAAGTATCTGGTTATTCACAATGGGGGAAAATAAGATTTGGCGTCACTTAAATAAAATACACTTCACTGTGATATAGTTATAACATGCAAGTTATTCTACTTGATAAAGATTCAACTTAAATCAGAAAGTTCTTCACTTTGCTTGTTTCTCCAAAGCTGCAGAACAAATGCTCAGTTTCCATTTCTGTGGCATTGTTTTTGAATCTCGCAAACATTTGCTTTCTGTGAGGAACAGGTAACAAAAAGCCCGAAGAATAGTGTGAAACTACCCCGCCTCACACTCTTAAATGACTAACACAGTTGGAGTCGCCCCCACCCCTCTTCCCTGGGTCACTAAATGCATTGAAATTTTAGAGGGCTGCTACGGCAGATTACTTCACACAGCTGTCCCAGCACCGTGGAAATGAAGTTATACCCCTTGTCAGCGATGTTTTGTGTTCCCTCTCTAACTCCTTGAGAACTTGCTCTTCAGTAGGACTGCAGGAGGGAACCGGGGGGAGGGAACCAAAAGACAATTCCTCTCCAGCTATCCACGAGAACCTGATCTGATTGGTTGAATAAATATTCCCTCTTTGCATCATAATTCAGAGAGGCTAGAAAACCCCTGACATTCAACGCCCTCTCCCAGTCCAATCCCTTCCCCCATTAACCCTGAATCATAAATCAACCCCCTCCTCCACCTTCCCAACCTCTCTAAAGCTCCGGGTACTCCCTTCCTCAGGCTCATCTCATAACCTCTTCTTGTTGTGGGTCACTGGGGTTTATTCACTTTACATTGCTGTTGCAGTAAGTTTGTTTACTTTTGATCACAGCTAAAGGGTTGCCCATATCTAAAGAGGCATTTAGAAACTTTAATGCTTGTAGCTTTTTGGGAATGAAATCAAACAATCATCCTCCCACAAAATATAAATCAATAAATTCAAGTCATTTCATTTGAGTTTTATTGTCACTTTTTGTGCAATTCAGAAAAAATGAAACTATCCTTTTGCTACAATAGATTCTCCCAAATCTTTTGCTGCTATGTGATCTATAGTTTAGGGTTATGCTACATTAATACTCAAACTGAACATGTTGATATTTTGCAGGTGCAAACTTTGATCTTACAGAGCTACAACAAATAGTTCTAGTTATTATTATCCTTTTTCAGATTAATCATTTACATGTGTTTAATGAGACTGAAGGGATGTCTAATGTCTAACCAAGTAAGATGCCTCACTCACTGTTTGAGAGTCTGCATGGGTTTCAAAATAAAAGGGAGAACAGTGGTAGTTTCTGCTGCTTTTGCTTACCTTTTCCTTTTTGTTTACCTCTGTTTATTCCAGCTTTGGCTTTCTTACACATAACAACTTGTTGCCCTTGAAACTTCTTTTTCTTTCTTTACTTTCTTACTTTCTTTGTTTCGTCCCTTTTAACTTCATTTCTGTGGGTTCACCTCAGGCAAACTAGAGCATAATTGAATTAAAGCAGTTCTCCAAGACTGCGAGTATCCAAATAAGCTCAGCAGAAAAAAGTCAGGCTGGTGACTGAGCTGCTTTAGAAGTCCAGTGGCACTGTCACAGGAAATGACTTATTTTATTGCCACTGAGCTAAGAAACAGGTTGGGACATCAAAATAAACCACGGGATTGGGACAAATACGTTGAATTCAAATAACATATTTCATAGTTTAGATGTTCTTTTTTTATTTTTAGCCAATAACATTTGAAGCATAAAAATAACAAAATGATAAGAAGTTGCATATGAACAACCGTGGACTGCCTGAATATTGTCTGCAAAGTAAACAATAAAAGTAATAAAAATGTGCCTGTCTGCTTTGACACGGCATATTCTAGAGGTCGAATGATTTGAGGTGGGCCAGAGGGGAGGATGGCCGAGCAACAGTTTGAGTTATGATGAGGCAATTTTAATGAGGTTGTGCTCCGTGCACGAAAAAAGCCCCTGTTGACTCTTTTCTGTTTCAGCACAGGGAATGAAACACTACTTTCCCATTTTTCTTTGGTACCAAAAGTTAATTGAAAACATTTCAGGGCAATGTATTGTCGGGGCCCCCATATGACTCTCATCCCTTCATTATCCCAAACAATAATAAAAAGGCATTACAATTATTAATGGTTGGATTGGAGGCCTGCTCTCTTAAAGTGCCAGTACCAGCCTCTTTCTTTTCATAACAAAGACCCAGAAAGGCCCCTTCTGCATAACTTTTTTTTAAACAGTTACGACCTTTCTAGGATTTATTATTTGGGTTATTCTGTTTACAGCTGTCAATTAACAGCTGATGTTTTCCACAGTGTAGTCAGTGTACAAAACTGAAGGAATTTATCCTCCTAGCCTCTGATAGAAGTTGGAGACAATGACTATATACTTCTATATACTTATTTATAAGTAAACCAAAACAGATGAAGAACTGTTAACAGAGCGTCAGCAGGAATTAGACTGAGCCATTAAGCTAAACTCTCTCACATAACTCCTCTCTCTTCTTCTGAGGTAGCTGCCTCTTCATGCTCCCCCCCCCACTCCCAAACACTAGGACAGAGTGAATGAAGTGCAACTCGTATTGTGCCAGAGCACCATTGTGTGTGTGTGTGTGTGTGTGTGTGTGTGTGTGTGTGTGTTGGGGGGGGGGTTGTCTCTGCATAATAGAGGTGCCACTTGACTTTTCCTTCCTCAATGGGCCCATCTCTTTTTATTTAAAAGCAAAATGGCTGCCATTATTGGTTTCAAAACACCAGAACGACGGGACACTGGCTGTTTCGGTATACTGAGCTGACTGACTCATTGCATGAGTCACAGGCATGTAGACAGACAGCATGTGTCACTGCTATCACTGATTAAACATAGTTGTCACAAACAATTCAATGACTCTGGGCAACATCTTTGCAACACAGTACAGGATATGGATTTTTACAGGTTATTATGATACCACTGACCTTTTAATCTGGGTTAAGTTAGCTCTAGATTTTGCTGAGTGGTACTGACACTTAATATTGCAACTCGGGTATGGTTTAAATAGCAAAAAAATACCAGTGGTGTAAATGCAGACCAACGAATGAATGAAATGATTACTTGCGACATTGAAGAATGAAAACCATAAATTGTGTTATTTTATGTTATAAAATAAAACAGAATACTGTCAATAAACCACTTCAGCATTCTCCTCTGATGAATACACACAACGCCAAAACTATGCTTATATGCAAACAGAACTGCTCTCAACATAGATGTTTACATCAGCGCTGTAACTTGCACTATTATATCAACCGATTCGCACTATAACCAGGGTTTGCCTCTTATCTGTATTTAATTTTATTCAATTTAATAACGGTACGGTACTCTGTTTGTGGTAACCATTGTCCTTGATGTAAATATGTAAAAATTGTGTATGTTTCTGATCTGTGTCTTGTGTACTGTTTGTTTGTACATGTTACACCCAAATTTCCTCTTGTGGGACAATTTAAGGATTATTCTATTCTATATACTAGAGAAATACACACGGAAGTCCAAAGACAAAAATAGTTTTAAAAATGCTATTTATTTAATGTGCATGTACATTCAAAGGTCTGTGTTCATAATGGGCACTTAATATCTTCATTCACCCAAACACAGACACGTTGTCTTATAATCAGTGTGCCTTTGTTAAGACTTTGGACAAACACACGGGGTGAAAATAAACAAACCGACTGAATACTTCTCCACAAATCCCAAGGAGGAGGGTTTTGGCCTTCTGCAGTCTGTTTGAGTTTGGAATTAACACTTTAAACCTTAAGCAAACACCATGTTTTCAAGGTCATGAGATTCTTTACACAGATTCATTATCCGCCTTGGGATTTAAACACATTTTAGTGGTTTTAATCAACTTTTGGGGTTACTTTTTTAAGTGAAAGTGTTGTAGAGCTTTCACAGTCTTGCTTGTGAATAAAAACGACCTTGAGGCATTTTTGCTTTCTTTTTTTTGTTTTGGATTTTAATGAAGCACATTTCCTTCCTCTGTGGTGATAATGCAGTACAGGACTTTCTTTTAGATACAGTGCAAAATCTCATGTTCTCTCTCTATATATAACACCCAAACAAATATTTAGACAAAATTATTATTATTATTTTTTTACAATATACTATACAATTTATGTATACCAACATACAAAAATAGCTTCCTTTAAAAGTATAAGATGTTTTTTTTTAAATGTGTAATTGAAATATAACTACTATCTGATCCACAACAGTGACTGACAAACGTCATAAGCCCTGTTTTTAAATACATTGTTGTAGACATGAAGTAGAAGGTTTTGGTTGAGTTATAAAATAGAATGTTCTGATTAGAAGAACACACATTTTTAGTTTGGTCTCTGTTTCTGGTGTCCAGTCCCACGGGTTAGGCTCCTGTCTGGTCTAACTGTCCCCGATAGTAGGCACCTTTTCCCACTCTTTTCAGATAATTTTGGCTAAAACCAGAATAGTAGTCAGAGTATTGAACACAGCAGTCTGAAAATGTGCGGTGTCACTTGAGTTTTCCACATATGGCTCATCCTCCAGATCCATATAATCATTCTCAGTGTCCTCCTCGGAGTCTGAGAAGCCGCTTCCCGCGTACCTGTCACTGGAGTCGGAGCAGAAAGTTTTCATGCTGACTTTGATGTACTCACATATGTTCCTTTCGGTGCCGTCGCACACACAGGTGTCCAGCTGCTGCGCTTTAGGTATGGAACGCATGTTGGCTATCACTTTGCGACACGCATCTGAGCACCTTTCTCCACCGAAAAGTTTGCGGCAGTGATATAAATAATCCCCCATGGCAGAGCTGCAGTGCGGGTCCATTTCACACTGCAGCCGGGCCTCGGTGCAGCCCATGGTGCTTGTCCGCGGCAGGCACGGCTCGATGGTCCGTTTGGTGTTTCTGCAGTTCGGGTCCTGGGCGCAGTCGCAGTCCTCCAGAGCCGGGCCGCTCCGGGTTAAATTGAGCTGAATCAAAGAGGACACGCAGTGACTGGGGCACTTTTTGCGTTCCCCGCTCAAAACAGTCGCGCAGGCATAGATGTACTGATTGTAGGCGTATTGGCACTCTGGCTCTGCATGACACTTCAGGATGGCTTTCCAGCAGACCAGTCGGTGGCTGTGGTTGGGAGATCCGACACAGAGACCGAGGATTAGGATCAACACGCCGTATATAAAAACCGTTGTTCGCTCCATCAATGTGACACGACTTCCCATTTCCTCCGAGAATGAATCTTAGAAAAGCGTTACTCCATCCTGTCGCATCAACAGTTCAGAGAGCTACTCCCTGATGATTTTAGATCACGTCACAAGTCGGTGACTTGAAGTTAGCGGTGCGCCACAAAGTAGGCACAACAAGCGCATCACGTTAAGATCCTAAAAGTTCCGAAATCCATAACAAAGTTCCACTTTCCCCCCTTCCGTCCGTGCGGTTCCCTCTCTAGTGGCCTCACTTTTGCATCTGTCGTCCACAAAAAAATTTTTTGGTGAAGTTTACAAGGGAAAAAAAGAAAAGAAAAAAGAAAGACCCACAGCTTCTTTATTCCACATGCAACTGGGAACACTCGATCCTAAAGTCACTCTTTTCACTATTAATCCACATCCACTCCAGCTGAAACCGCTTTGAAATGCGGGTTGTGTAGTTGTGGGGTGACTAGGTTCCGCAGGGACCGCGTCCCATTGGTCCGATAAACTGTTTTGATTCGCTCGTCACACGCGGTCGTGACGCAGACCGCTGAAGACCGTAATTGATGTATGTGTAGAAATCTTTTACACGTTTGTCATCTCATTGTGATGAAATGAGTACTGTGCAATACTGCAAATTTTGGAATGATACAAAGTAAATACGTTCTGAGTTTTAAACTATAAAGGCAGCCTTCTTAGGGAAGATCAGCCTGTCGTGATTTAAATCTTCAACATTTTAATGATACTTTGT